TCATAAACACTCTGTGCTGCCTCATAAACACTCTGTGCTGCCTCATAAACACTCTGTGCTGCCTCATAAACACCCTGTGCTGCCTCATAAACACTCTGTGCTGCCTCATAAACACTCTGTGCTGCCTCATAAACACTCTGTGCTGCCTCATAAACACCCTGTGCTGCCTCATAAACACCCTGTGCTGCCTCATAAACACTCTGTGCTGCCTCATAAACACTCTGTGCTGCCTCATAAACACTCTGTGCTGCCTCATAAACACTCTGTGCTGCCTCATAAACACTCTGTGCTGCCTCATAAACACCCTGTGCTGCCTCATAAACACCCTGTGCTGCCTCATAAACACTCTGTGCTGCCTCATAAACACCCTGTGCTGCCTCATAAACACCCTGTGCTGCCTCATAAACACCCTGTGCTGCCTCATAAACACCCTGTGCTGCCTCATAAACACCCTTGTGCTGCCTCATAAACACCCTGTGCTGCCTCATAAACACTCTGTGCTGCCTCATAAACACCCTGTGCTGCCTCATAAACACTGTGCTGCCTCATAAACACCCTGTGCTGCCTCATAAACACATAAACACCCTGTGCTGCCTCATAAACACTCTGTGCTGCCTCATAAACACCCTGTGCTGCCTCATAAACACCCTGTGCTGCCTCATAAACACTCTGTGCTGCCTCATAAACACCCTGTGCTGCCTCATAAACACCCTGTGCTGCCTCATAAACACTCTGTGCTGCCTCATAAACACCCTGTGCTGCCTCATAACCACTCTGTGCTGCCTCATAAACACCCTGTGCTGCCTCATAAACACCCTGTGCTGCCTCATAAACACCCTGTGCTGCCTCATAAACACCCTGTGCTGCCTCATAAACACTCTGTGCTGCCTCATAAACACCCTGTGCTGCCTCATAAACACTCTGTGCTGCCTCATAAACACCCTGTGCTGCCTCATAAACACTCTGTGCTGCCTCATAAACACCCTGTGCTGCCTCATAAACACTCTGTGCTGCCTCATATACACCCTGTGCTGCCTCATAAACACCCTGTGCTGCCTCATAAACACTCTGTGCTGCCTCATATACACCCTGTGCTGCCTCATAAACACCCTGTGCTGCCTCATAAACACTCTGTGCTGCCTCATAAACACCCAGTGCTGCCTCATAAACACCCTGTGCTGCCTCATAAACACTCTGTGCTGCCTCATAAACACCCAGTGCTGCCTCATAAACACCCTGTGCTGCCTCATAAACACTCTGTGCTGCCTCATAAACACCCAGTGCTGCCTCATAAACACCCTGTGCTGCCTCATAAACACTCTGTGCTGCCTCATAAACACCCTGTGCTGCCTCATAAACACTCTGTGCTGCGGTCTTGCTGTGGGGAAATCTTATAGTGATTGATTTGATTATTAATTTAATTAAGAGAATTTATTTAATTAAATTTATTATTTATTTATTACTGGTGAGTGGTCATTTTATAATTTATTATCACCAGTAAACTTCCCTTCACACGTTTTGGGCGGATTCATAGTTCTGTTTATCACACCGTAATGAAACCGTTGATATTAATTAATTACTAAACTGCAATTAGATAGTTAGTAGTATTGGTACAAATGTGATATTGATGATTTAAACTGTCTCAGCTGATTCGGTTGTGCTGACTGGTCATCAGATTTCATCGGACAGGTGTTCTCTGTACTGGACAGGTATTAATGGCTCGGACAGATGTTGTCCGTATCGGACAGGTATTAATGGTGTCTGGGTGGTCTTGGGATATAACAGATCAATTGTTGTGTTATGCGTGTTCACAAATTACCTGCGGAGTTGTTACATAGTAACATATATATAACTACAGGCAACACGCATTTGTGACAAACTTATTACTTAACTGTGATGGCTTACCCTTGTGGGTGGTGTTTCCTCTCACCTTAACGATACATTCCTACACTAATAAATGACCAAAAATTTCGTGTAATAGAATAACTGGAAAGCTGGAGGATTTTATATTAAATTAACCAGAAACCGTTTTCTTGTGTATTTCAGGGCTAATCAAAGTATTTTTTAACGTTTTGTTTCTGTGAATAGTTCCATTTCTCCGACCCTACCCATCAATATTGGTGTTCCACATGGCAGCATATTTGGCCCTCTCCTCTTTCTTATCTACATTAATGACCTTCCAAATGCCTCTCAACACCTCACCCCAATTTTATTTGCTGATGACACAACCTTCATTTTCTCTAGTCCTGACCCTCTTACTCTGAATGATATAGTGAATATTGATCTAACTAAAGTCCATCTTTGGCTAACTGCTAACAAACTCACCCTTAATTAAAATTAACATTGACAAAACCTTCTATATTTTGTTTGGTAATAAATCCTCAGATCAAATTGATCTAAGAATAAACAATATCCAAATTAGCAACAAAGTAGATGGTAAATTCCTTGGTGTTCTCATAGATAACAAGCTGAATTTCTAGGGACACAACTATATAAATAAAAATGGAAATGTTCGTTAGTGCATAACCACTAATCTCCGAAAGTTCTTCACCGATTGCTTTGAAATTTTCACACAGCGTTCCATTCGCATCCGCGCAGGTTTTTATGTACATACTATATAGATGTCACGTCTATGACGGTGAAATAACATGCTTTTTCTGAAAAACTGTGTTTTTTCATGTGTTTTTCATGTGAGGGAAATCTTCGAAACTTTTTACCGATTCCTTTGAAATTTTGACACAACTTTGCATTCAAATAGACGCGTCTTTTTATATACCTACTATATACATGCCTCACCTTTGACAGGAAAAAACATATTTAAAAAAAAAACGGCGCTATCTGTTGGACGTAAGCGAAACACACGCTGTAATCTCCGAAAGTTCTTCACCGATTGCTTTGAAATTTTGACACAACGTTACATTCGAATAGACGCGTCTTTTTATATACCTACTATATTGATGCCACCCCTGTGACAGGTAAAAACATTTGTTTTGTTTTAAAACAGCGCCATCTGTTGCACATAATAGCAACATGCACGCTATACTAAATATGTCACGAATTCCATTTTAATGTTTCCAATTGCATTGATAAATTTTATTTCATAGATTTCGACTTATTTGATTTGTTATTTAATTATTTTGTGTGACAATGTGTTCGAATTGAGCTGCGTTGTTTACCTTACCGCTCATTTCGTAAGTATAAGTATAGATGTCACACCTGTGACACGTAAAACTATGCTTTTCTTGAAAAACAGCGCCATCTATTGCATGTAAGATTAACACACATTCTATACTCAATATGTTGCAATTCCATTTTGATGTTTCTGATTGCACTGATAAATTGAATTTTCATAGATTTTGATATATTTTCATTTTGATTTAATTATTTTGTGTGAATTGCATTGGAATTGAGCTGTGTTGTTTACCATACTGTTCATTTCGTGAGTATAGTTTATTTTCTTATTTTTTTCATATTTTCATTTCATTTTTTAACTGTTTTTCTTATATGGGGGTGAAGGGAACATGAGATCACTTGATGTTCCCAATTTTCTGATGGGAACATCAGACAGTTTGGGAAGGCATCGGACGAGGGAGTGGGGAATGGGGAAGTATGAGGATGACGAGGGGACGGAAGTGAGAGATGGTGAAGAGGACAAGGGGACAAAGGAGGGGATAATGGTCGGGAAGGACGAGGGGACAGGGGAGTTTGGGATGGTGGGGATGAGGGGATGGGGGGAATTGAGAATGGTGGGGAGGACAAAAGGACAGGGGAGTGGGGCATGGTGGGAAGGAAGAGGGGGTGGTGGAGTGGGGAATGGTGGGGAGGACGAGGGGACAGTGGTGTGGTTGGGAGGCCGAGGAGACGGGTGAGGGGGGAATGGTGGGGAGGACGAGGGGACAGGGAAGGTTGCTAAGCCTCAGCAACGCGTGGCCGGGTACTGCTAGTTCTAAATATATACAAAAAAGTTTCTAAAACTGTTGGCATTCTTTCTAAGATCAGATATTATGTACCTCGCCCAGCCCTGGTGACTCTCTATTACTCCCTCATCTATCCTTACCTCAATTTTGATATTTGTGCTTGAGGTTCTACTACACAAAATCATTTACATCCTCTGCTTACTCAAGACAAAGCTGTTATTAGAAGAATATTAAACTCCGTCCGCAGACAGCACTTGGTATCGTTACTTAAATCTTTTAATATGTTAGATGTTAAGTCACTGCACATACTCTCATGTGTACTCTATATTTTAAAAACTCTGAACTGTAATGTCAATCCTGACCTTATATGCTGCCTAGAAGAGTGTAATAGAACCCATGGGCACCACACTAGAAACAAATACTTATTTGATATTCCAGGAGTAGGACTTAACCACATTAGAAATGCTCTACAAATCAAGGGACCAGAATGATGAATGACCTTTCCAATCATGTCAAAGGCTGTACCTGTCTCAACCAGTTTAAGAGAAAAACTAAATATTACCCAATAAACATGTAACCTGCCTTACCCCCAAAATGTCAACCTATGTTTTGCTATTTTAAAACAATACTGTTGTTGACCAACTTGAATAACTGCTGATCTCAGCCAATTTCCTCCTTTTTCAACTCAATTTTTGCTTTGATTTCAATAAGTATTAAGTTTTCGTCTAAATTATTTTTTTCGCACATCTTGCCCGAAGCGCTGTGAGCATTAGCGGCTTTAGGCATAGAATGTACTTGGTCTATCTATAAATCCAACATTATGTTTGTAACTCATCTTGAATGTATGTATTTTTACCTAAATTAACATTTGATTTGATTGATTTGTTTAATTTGTTTATTTAAAGGCTAACTAAAGTATTTATTAGCAACTTTAACTTATGCTCATTAATAACATTTTATAGCTGTTATATAAGAGTTTTATATTTGATGTGAGAATTTCCCACACTTGCCTGTTTACAGATCGCCATGTCCCCGGTCAATAACGAGCGTCACTCACAACCACCTCATTGTCTCCTCACGCAGGCGGGCGCCCATAGCATCGTTGGAGTGCATGGAGGATCTAGCAGGCTGTGGTGGCGACCATGTTTCCACTCGCAGCGACTCTCAGGCCATTGTCTCCAGGCAGTCGTCCCTCGCCACCAGTCTCCGCTACAAGCCCCTGGGGAAGTCTGGCCTCCGCGTCTCCCAGCTGGGCCTGGGTGAGTACTGTCTCCCACCTGGGCCTGGGTGAGTACTGTCTCCCAGCTGGGCCTGGGTGAGTACTGTCTCCCAGCTGGGCCTGGGTCAGTACTCTCTCCCAGCTGGGCCTGGGTGAGTACTCTCTCCCAGCTGGGCCTGGGTCAGTACTCTCTCCAAATCTGCAATCCCATATATTTCCCATATTTTTTTTAAATAAACACAAACTCTTGTTCTAATTATTTCCCGATAAAATATTTCCTCTAAAAATAGTTTCCTCTCATTTTCTCCCCCGTGAAATATTTCTCGTGTTAATATCTCTCGGCTGTGCAATTGCCAGCAATACTTTCGCCTACTTAATGCATTTTCTTGCAATCAAATTTATTACTGAGTTTGTGAGTTGTTTTGCAATTCGTTATGTGAAAATTTGTGGTCTCAGGCAGACCTTCACACCTACCATGGGGGAGGCTTAATGCCTCCAAACATGCAGCCCAAACATGCAGACACAAACATGCAGACACAAACATGCAGACATGCAAACATGCAAACCATACACATGATACAGTGTTGCCAACACACACCATACACATGATACAGTGTTGCCAACACACACCACCAACACACGTCTGTCTGTCTGTCTGTCTCTCTGTCTCTCTGTCTCTCCGTCTGTCTGTCTGTCTGTCTGTCTGTCTGTCTGTCTGTCTGTCTGTCTGTCTGTCTGTCTGTCTGTCTGTCTGTCTGTCTGTCTCTCTGTCTGTCTCTCCGCCCGTCTATACTCACCTAGTTGTACTCACCTAGTTGTGTTTGCGGGGGTTGAGCTCTGGCTCTTTGGTCCCGCCTCTCAACCGTCAATCAACAGGTGTACAGATTCCTGAGCCTATTGGGCTCTATCATATCTACACTTGAAACTGTGTATGGAGTCAGCCTCCACCACATCACCTCCTAATGCATTCCATTTGTCAACCACTCTGACACTAAAAAAGTTCTTTCTAATATCTCTGTGACTCATTTGGGCGCTCAGTTTCCACCTGTGTCCACTAATGCGTGTGCCCCTTGTGTTAAATAGCCTGTCTTTATCTACCCTATCAATTCCCTTGAGAATCTTGAATGTGGTGATCATGTTCCCCCTAACTCTTCTGTCTTCCAGCGAAGTGAGGTTTAATTCCCGTAGTCTCTCCTCGTAGCTCATACCTCTCAGCTCGGGTACTAGTCTGGTGGCAAACCTTTGACCCTTTTCCAGTTTAGTCTTATCCTTGACTAGATATGGACTCCATGCTGGGGCTGCATACTCCAGGATTGGCCTGACATATGTGGTATACAAAGTTCTGAATGATTCTTTACACAGGTTTCTGAATGCCGTTCGTATGTTGGCCAGCCTGGCATATGCCACTGATGTTATCCTCTTGATATGTGCTGCAGGAGACAGGTCTGGCGTGATATCAACTCCCAAGTCTTTTTCTTTCTCTGACTCCTGAAGAATTTCCTCTCCCAGATGATACCTTGTATTTGGCCTCCTGCTCCCTGCACCTATCTTCATTACATTACATTTCGTCGGGTTAAACTCTAACAACCATTTGTTCGACCATTCCTTCAGTTTGTCTAGGTCTTCTTGAAGCCTCAAACAGTCCTCTTCTCTCTTAATCCTTCTCATAATTTAGGCATCGTCCGCAAACATTGAGAGAAATGAATCTGTACCCTCCGGGAGATCATTTACATATATCAGAAACAAGATAGGACCGAGTACAGAGCCCTGTGGGACTCCACTGATGACTTCACGCCAATCGGAGGTCTCACCCCTCACCGTAATTCTCTGCTTCCTATTGCTTAGGTACTCCCTTATCCACTGGAGTACCTTGCCAGCTACACCTGCCTGTCTCTCCAGCTTATGTACCAGCCTCTTATGCGGTACTGTGTCAAAGGCTTTCCGACAATCCAAGAAAATGCAGTCCGCACAGCCCTCTCTTTCTTGCTTAATCTGTGTCACCTGGTCGTAGAATTCTATTAAGCCAGTCAGGCAAGATTTACCCTCCCTGAACCCATGTTGGCGATTTGTCATGAAGTCCCTTCTCTCCAGATGTGCTACCAGGTTTTTTCTCACGATCTTCTCCATCACCTTGCATGGTATACAAGTCAAGGACACTGGCCTGTAGTTCAGTGCCTCTTGCCTGTCGCCCTTTTTGTATATTGGGACCACATTCGCCGTCTTCCATATATCTGGTAGGTCTCCCGTCTCCAGTGACTTACTATACACTATGGAGAGTGGCAAGCAAAGTGCCTCTGCACACTCTTTCAGTACCCATGGTGAGATCCTCTCTGGACCAACAGCCTTTCTAACATCCAGATCCAGCAGGTGTCTCTTGACCTCCTCTCTCGTAATTTCGAACTATTCCAAAGCCGCCTGGTTTACTTCCCTTTCTCCTAGCACAGTGACCTCACCTTGTTCTGTTGTGAAGACCTCTTGGAACCTCTTGTTGAGTTCATCACACACCTCTTTGTCATTCTCTGTATACCTGTCCTCGCCTGTTCTAAGTTTCACTACCTGTTCTTTCACTGTTTTCCTTCTGATGTGACTGTGGAGTAGCTTTGGTTCGGTCTTGGCTTTGTTTGCTATATCATTTTCATAACTTTTCTCTGCTTCTCTTCTCACCCTGACATACTCATTCATGGTTCTCTGGCATGTCTCTCTGCTTTCTGGTGTTCTGTTATTCCGGAAGTTCCTCCACGCCCTTTTGTTCAGTTTCTTTGCTTCCATACATGCCCTATTATACCATGGATTCTTCTTTTGCTTCTCGGATTTTTCCTTTTGGGCCGGGATGTATCTGCTTACTGCCTCCTGACACTTTTGGGTGACATAGTCCATCATATCTTGTACAGACTTAGCTCTGAGGTCTGTGTCCCAAGGTATTACCCTTAGGAAGCTTCTCATCTCATAAATTTCCCTTTCGGTATGCCAGCCTTTTGTTTCCTAGTTCTTTTTCGGGATGGATAATTCCTAGCTCTACCAGGTACTCAAAGTTCAATACACTGTGATCACTCATTCCCAAGGGTGCTTCCATCTTGACTTCCCTTATATCCCACTCATTTAGGGTAAATATCAGTTCAAGCATTGCTGGTTCATCCTCTCCTCTCATTCTTGTTGGATCCTTGATGTGCTGGCTTAGAAAGTTTCTTGTTGCCACGTCCAGCAGCTTAGCTCTCCATGTTTCTGGTCCTCCATGCGGGTCTCTGTTCTTCCAATCTATCTTCCCATGGTTGAAGTCTCCCATGATTAGTAGTCCAGATCCATTCCTGCTAGCAACAGAAGCTGCTCTCTCCATTATGTTAATGGTGGCCATATTGTTTCTATCATATTCCTGTCTGGGTCTTCTGTCATTTGGTGGTGGATTATATATGACTAAGACTATAATTTTTTGCCCTCCAGTTGTTATTGTTCCTATTATGTAGTCACTGAAACCTTCACATTCCTGAACAACCAACTCCTCAAAATCCCAGCCTTTTCTTACCAGCAGAGCTACACCACCACCACCTCTTCCTTCTCTCTCTTTCCTCATAACATAATAGTCCTGTGGGAACACTGCATTTGTTATTGTTTTCGTCAGCTTTGGTCTGTCTGTCTGTCTGTCTGTCTGTCTGTCTGTCTGTCTGTCTGTCTGTCTGTCTGTCTGTCTGTCTGTCTGTCTGTCTGTCTGTCTGTCTGTCTGTCTGTCTGTCTGTCCGTCCGTCCGTCCGTCCGTCCGTCCGTCCGTCCGTCCGTCTGTCTGTCTGTCTGTCTGTCTGTCTGTCTGTCTGTCTGTCTGTCTGTCTGTCTGTCTGTCTACGTGCGCTCGGTAATAACGACCTGGTGAGGTTATAGCCAAAGTTAAACAACAAACAAAAACATGACAGAACAGTGAAACTTAACGAGGATTGTTGGGTACAGTCTAGGACCAGTGATTGTTGGGTACAGTCTAGGACCAGTGATTGTTGGGTTCAGTCTAGGACCAGTGATTGTTGGGTACAGTCTAGGACCAGTGATTGTTGGGTACAGTCTAGGACCAGTGATTGTTGGGTACAGTCTAGGACCAGTGATTGTTGGGTACAGTCTAGGACCAGTGATTGTTGGGTACAGTCTAGGACCAGTGATTGTTGGGTACAGTCTAGGACCAGTGATTGTTGGGTACAGTCTAGGACCAGTGATTGTTGGGTACAGTCTAGGACCAGTGATTGTTGGGTACAGTCTAGGACCAGTGATTGTTGGGTACAGTCTAGGACCAGTGATTGTTGGGTACAGTCTAGGACCAGTGATTGTTGGGTACAGTCTAGGACCAGTGATTGTTGGGTACAGTCTAGGACCAGTGATTGTTGGGTACAGTCTAGGACCAGTGATTGTTGGGTACAGTCTAGGACCAGTGATTGTTGGGTTCAGTCTAGGACCAGTGATTGTTGGGTACAGTCTAGGACCAGTGATTGTTGGGTACAGTCTAGGACCAGTGATTGTTGGGTACAGTCTAGGACCAGTGATTGTTGGGTACAGTCTAGGACCAGTGATTGTTGGGTACAGTCTAGGACCAGTGATTGTTGGGTACAGTCTAGGACCAGTGATTGTTGGGTACAGTCTAGGACCAGTGATTGTTGGGTACAGTCTAGGACCAGTGATTGTTGGGTACAGTCTAGGACCAGTGATTGTTGGGTACAGTCTAGGACCAGTGATTGTTGGGTACAGTCTAGGACCAGTGATTGTTGGGTACAGTCTAGGACCAGTGATTGTTGGGTACAGTCTAGGTCCAGTGATTGTTGGGTACAGTCTAGGACCAGTGATTGTTGGGTACAGTCTAGGACCAGTGATTGTTGGGTACAGTCTAGGACCAGTGATTGTTGGGTACAGTCTAGGACCAGTGATTGTTGGGTACAGTCTAGGACCAGTGATTGTTGGGTACAGTCTAGGACCAGTGATTGTTGGGTACAGTCTAGGACCAGTGATTGTTGGGTACAGTCTAGGACCAGTGATTGTTGGGTACAGTCTAGGACCAGTGATTGTTGGGTA